TACCGTATTTTCCCTAATGTGACTGAGTCAGTCGTTTCATCCACAAAAATCTTTGCTAAAACGACTGAATCAGTCATTTGAACCGTCTTATTTAGCCATTCAGTCACTTCACTTTTCTGACAGTGATGTCACGATAGTCATCTCTCTTTGCCATCGTACATGTACCTCTATCACGAACTGTACTATAATGCTTAAGTGATGATCACATACACAGTCATTCGAAAGGTTTTTTTCTTGTCGGAGATTGTCTGCTTTTTATCCAATAAATACAATAGATTATTTTTGAAGCTTCTTATTATTTCTTAAACGTTAATCAGAAGTGGATGTCTCCATTCGCAATAAAATTAACATAAAAGGAATAAAAATTTATTGAAACTCTGCGCAAAATTTATTAGTTTGGTTAGATTGTGTCAGTCTGGGCTGAGATCAACATGTTATGTATGCAACGCGTGCAGAATAAGTGGACGAAATTAGAAGAAAATTGGGACATTGTCTGTGTTTCAGAAACTTTGGAAAGCTAGCAAGAGCTTGAAGATGACAGTAGTATCGACGAAAGCGTGAAAAGTGACGCCTGCACCGAAAGCGATAGCGCTAAATTTCCGATTTCTAAATTAAAACTCGCTATGTCACTATTATTCGTTTATATCAACCGACTAAAACAGAAAAGCTGTACGAAAAAAGTATTAATTTGTAGATAATGACATTTTTTGGTTTTTCTTCTAAAATTTGACATATTTATGTTTATTGCTAAAAATTTAGTTTTTCATCTGGTATGTTCTAGTAAGTATCTTGATCATGAGATGGCATTACCGAATGCAAAAACATTTTTTTCATATAACTTTTTAGTTGGACGTTTCTTTCGAAAATTGTTTCATTTATTCGGTCGCCTCCCTGACAGTTCATCGAGAACAGAACCTGTTACACTGGAAAATATTCGAATTATTGGAGATATGGAAGATACCAACAGTTCTTATTTGACAAGTTCACAGACAGTTCCGCGTGTAAAAAGGATTTTATTCTTTTTCAACATATTATTTTTATTGATTCAAACTAGTGATTTGTATCTTGCTCATTTTCTGTTTAGACAGTACAAACAAATTGGGATTCATGGGGTCGAGATGACATATTCCGACAAAAGAAAGCACTCAGTAGTTCCGTATCAGAAAATCAAGAACAATATTTTCAAGATATGACCCCAACAGTGAAAAAACCGCCGATGGTAAGAAGAAAACGCGCGCTTCTCGTTGGACAAAGTAAATTAACTGTATTGTTGTTTTTTTACTTAGATTATATTGAAAAAACGTGAAACTAATAACATTTCTAATTATAATGCTAGCAGATTACAAATGATGAATGAACCTGCTGAATTTGTAAGTATTTTATGTTTCTAGATGGAATAATAATAATTAAGATATTTGTTCTATTTAACAGAAAAGTGGTCTTGACGAATGGAATGAAGATTTGAATATGCCAGCAACGACTTGGGATGAAAATAATTTAGAAGATTTGTCACAAGAAGCGTCAGAAGCTCTGAAAGGTAACGGTATTTCATTTCTATTCACTGTACTAGGTGTGCTTCAAAACGTCTTACTTTTGTTCATTTTAGAAACACGCCGAATTGAGCGTGAAAAAAAAATTCGTGAGCATCAACAACGTAAGGTAGAAAAGGATTCTCAACGTTCGTCACATAAACGTGAAAGCTTAACATTAAATATGGATGAGAGATAGTTGTCGAACAACGTAGCGTTTATCATGTAGAACATCTACTAGTCGTTTCAATCTCTTTTCGATAGAACAATTTATGTTGAATATTTTTTGTTCTTTCAAATGGATTTGTTTTCATACTATTTTTACTTGTTAATTAATGGTTCTGTTTTCAATATTTCTCTGTAATACTGTTCTTTTCGTTGTCGTAGCTTAGGAATGTTGAAGAAGAATAAATACACTCTCTGTTGACCTACTCAAAATATTTAAGAAGTTTCTTCGGTTTACAAAATTTCCTATCTGAAATACGTCAACTATTAATAGTCAATATCGAGAGCGTTGTGACAGTTACTACGAGTATCGAAGATTGGCTAACTCTAACGTCAGAGTCGAACTGATTTTATTAAAGTTAAATTGTGTATTTGATTCAACCAACCAGCTGTAGTATAGCTCAGAGATGGGCAACTCCGGCTAAGTTCAACTCCAACTCTAACTCCAACTCCGCAGATCCCAACTCCAACTCCGTTTCAACTCCAATAGGAACTTATTTTGTCTTGATTCATTTTCTCCTTTATTTTATATGTGATCACTGCAGAAAGCGACAACGCTGCAATGTTTTCTTTTATTCGCTCATTCGAGATCATATGATCATCGGTAGCATATATACACATAAGTTTAACATATTCAGAATATATAAACGTTGAACACATGTTAATATTGCTTTTATGTGACGTAACAAAAACAAAAAAATTTTCAGACTGTGCAAAAATTTTTAACTGGAGTTGGGAGTTGGAGTTGAAAAAATCTGAACTCAACTCAACTCTAATCTAATAAAAACGAAACTCCAACTTAACTCCAACTCCACTAAAAAGAAGCTCAACTCCGGAGTTGGAGTTGCCCATCTCTGGTATAGCTTCGACTTGCAATAAAGAAACTTTTCCACTTAAGGCCTTGCAACATCTTGAGTGGATTCACTCAAGCTTTTGAAATATGTTTCCAAGATCTTTGCTACATATACCAGTAGGGATATCATGTCAAAAAGATAGAAATTCAGAATACTAACTAGAAGATGTTAGCAGTACATCAGCCAGGTGCTACAAAGACCGTTTCGGGATATCGAAACTTGGGATGGTCTGTGAAGTAGTAGTGTCCCAGCATCAGGTTCTTAGACCATGTTACTACTGCAAAATGATTCTAATATATGCTGTATAAGAGAAACTTGGCTTAGAACTACAAATTACATTGCGCAATCTTAAGGTTGTGATTTAGTCTTTTGTGGTCATAGTGTTCGACTTGTATCCCTTATGAGTGGAGTTCTGTCCCCGCCAAAAAATACTTCTTGAACTTCTAGGCGCTTTGGGCGATATTCTTCACTTAGGTCATAGTTTGACTCAAGCCTTACGTCTTTCGAGTTTGACGGTAACTTTGTGCACTGATTTAATTACAGTTTGTTATTATTTTTGCTTTATTTCGATGTTCGTTTTCTGTGAGTCCGGTAGTCACGAACACTTGACTCGGGAGCATTCTTTTCTTTATTTCTATATAAACTATCTCTTATACAGTATATGTTAGAATTAGTTTAGTCTAAGTTAGCAGTTGCAATATGGTCTAAGAATCTGTTGCTGAGACACTGTAACTTCAAAGACCGTCCCAAGTTTCGATGTCCCGAAACGGTCGTTGTAGCACTTGGCTGATGTATTGCTAACATCTTAATTTAATGTTAACAGCATGTAAGTAATTATTAATAACTTAACATTACGATTACACTACAATATTAATCATAATTAAGGTAACTATTATCACGATTATTTTGTCGTACGATCGCTACCTGATTAATAATGATTAACTTTATGTATGATTAAAACATGATTAGCGTAATTAAAATTAGTTTATGGATACTGAACAGGATCGCATCATCGTCAACTTTTTGAACATCGATTTTAGAAAACTATATGCTTCTCTAACGCTGCAAAACACATCACTTGATTTTAATATGCATGCAAGATGAGTTTTTGTTTTTTTAAAGCTGATTAGTGTTATAGTGCAACCGAGATGTGATGTAATATGTATAGTATTATATTACATCACATCTCGGTTGCACTATAACACTAATCATGATCAAAACTAATTGTGCGTAATGTTAGTAAAAATCAGAGAATTAATTACAAATCATGGCCAATGCTGTAGTATAAACACACTAAAAAATAATGTCTCAAACGAGTGTGTTACGGTTGAAGTGTCGTAGTTACTAAGGTTCTAAAAATGTAGTTTTAGGACATGTGTTAGGCCCTATGAAGGAAACCACGCCGTTCCTACTTGTGTTTAAGCGTGTTGTAACATTCTCCATTTCACATTTCTTTGCCGTTTGTTGATCTTGAACCAGCGATAAATGTCGCTAATAAAAGAAACATATAACTCATTTCTTTGATTTAACGGTTTTCTAAGACCTACTGAAAAAAAAAATTACGAATTCCTGTGTTGACACGCAGGAATCTGAAAGAATCCTGTGAATGTTGGACATATACGGCAAGTTTTTACATCACGTTACCTCGCCGAAAATTTTCCTTCAAGTTGGTGAGTATAATTGAGCAGGATTCTTTAACACGCTCACTTTTCGAGTTTCTTTTCTGCAGGATCCTGGAGGATTCTTCTGTAGGCACACCATGTAGGAACTTTTACATGCTTTCATGCGATATATCTAGCAGATGCGTCACTTTGCATAGCCTGCGGAATTTTTTCCTTCCTGTTATTACTTGTAATACACAAGATATCTCAATACGCAAACCCTGCAAGGTCTGTAGGATTTTTTTCATGATGATAAAAAATTGTAG